TATGTTGTTGATAAATTTAAAAATTATTGATAGGTATTAAGTATGTTTTCTTTTTATACCACGACGGTGGCAACAAAGCACACAGCCCACCTGATGGTAAGCAGTTACCGTGGCCTATGTACGCCTGCAACACTTGGGACCCTTGATGTTACAAGTTTAATCTTATTATCAACAGGATCGTATTCTTCTTGGCTGTGGCTCTGACTTCAGGATCCATGCTGGCTGAGAGGAACGAGGGTATCCTGGAGAGGTCACTGGTTTCTGGTATTACTGGTAAGTCTTCTAAAATGTTTTTCTATGGTATTATGATGCAGTTAGTCGCGGTGGCCCGGAAGTTTAAAACGCTCGCTTCTCATGCATGAGGGTGTGGGTTCGAAACCTACCAACGGCAAGTACTAATGTGACTTTTTCCGAGTTATATGTACTTTCTAAGATTGTCTAGACACCACTGACAAACGGTGCAGGAAAACATCGTGAGGAAAACCTGGACTTATAATTTCTAATTATGAGTTTGAAATCGCTAACCCGCATTGAGCAAGCTTGGTGATTGATGCTCGAACCTTCTTCGTGTGAGAAGAGGCCTTTGGTCAACAGTGGTCACTTATAGGCTACGAAAGTCTGAATAGTAAACTAACAAAAATTAGAAGTAATTAAACTACCTACCCTCGAAGTTGTAATCCATTTAAATTGTAGCCAAACTAGTTTAATAGTCTGCGAGTTATTTTAGAAACCAGTTACGGAACCCGACCCTAATCAGGGTAAAGAACCAGATAAAGGTAGCATCGGAATGTTGTTTGTGGAACCCTAATTTTATTATCACACCTTTTAGAATAGCTTTTTTAATTAAATCATGGAAATGACAAATTAGGGATAGATAGAGATTGTAGATACATTTAGGTATAAATAGGTAGTCGATTTGTGTAATTTTTCTCATTACAATACAACAACTCGATTAGTTACAAAGGACTTACGCTTAAATAGAAAGCAAGAAAGAGAGAAAGGAAAGAAAGAAAAGAAAAGAAAGAAAGAAAAGAAAGAAAAGAAAGAAAAGAGAGAAAAGAAAGAAAGAAAAGAAAGAAAAGAAAGAAAAGAGAGAAAAGAAAGAAAGTAAAACAGTTTATTCCCACGATAAAAAAATAAAACAAGAAGAAGTACTCATACGCTACACAATTTTAAGTCGCACTAACTCTTAAGTATATTTGTGTCACTACAAATTCTCTATAAAATGATAGAGATGCCACGATATTTGAGTATAACTTAAAATTGAATAACCTTGCAGTATTCCGGCGGACCGGCGTTATTATTATAAAACTAGCTGTGCCCGCGATTACGTTGGCTTACCCCGTAGGTGATAACGTAATAATATGTAGCCTACATGTTGACCCGACCTTTTAGTAATAAGCATACGAAATTTGAAGTAAATCCATACAGTACTTTTGATACATAGTATGTATGTATGTCCGGTATGATCTCAAACAATACACACATACAGACAAACAGACAAAAAATTGTTAAAACCATATTTTTGGCTTCGGTATCGATTGTAGATCACGCTCTAAGTATTCTTTTAGAAAAATATTCAATGTGCAGTTTTGACTTTTCTACGATTATATATAGATTTAAGATGATAAGATAACAACAGACCTCTTTAGGGAATAAAAGACAGAATAATTATATTGTATCACCTTCATAAGAGTTAATTCTTAAAACTATGCTCTTAGTTTCTGATGCAGTTTTAGTTTGAATTAAGTAAGAACTTTGGAGCCTGGCTTTGAAAGACTTGAGGTTTAAAACTTCTTCTTGCAAAACTATGCTGCCTCACGAATGTTAAGCATTTAGACGGGTCTGTAGAATAGTATGAGGTATTTTATACCTCATAATTATGCGGTTTAAAAAGCTAGACAGAGCTCTGAGAACGATGAACGAAAAATGTGTCTTTACAACGAAAGAAAAATAATTTATTTGACTCCTCGTATGATACTTAAAAAACAATAGTACACAAATACAGAAAACACTTTCGTCAAAGTGTCAACTCGTTTTTTTTTATAATTATAGAATAGTTGAACAATAGGTATTTAAGCAATGGACCTGATTAAACTGTCAAACACCAAGCGGTCACCGGTGACCACAACCTATTGTTCTATAATTGTGTCTACAAAACCGGTACTCGACGAGTTAAGAAACCTGATATGGTGGTGTTTCATATTTTCGTAATTGATTGAACTGATATTGAACAATCTCACGTCATTATTATTTTAAAACACATAACAAATGTTAAATATTTCCCGAACAATCCTTCTAAATACCTCCCCGGATCCATTATCCGAGAACAATCCATTTGTTTCCAACACACGGTGTTAACGATAACATGATAATATAATTTTATTCGACCAAACTGTTACACGAAGAGAATGTTCCTTTGACGAAACTGGAGGCCTAATACAATCTTCCGAAATTAAATTCCGTTATATTGCGTCAAATAGTATATTATTATTAATTTAATATTTTTCATTGCATACGTTCACAAAAAAATGTCGTAATATTCGAATTCTTCATGTTATTATGCGTTCGAAAGTCTTATGTTTAATCTTGTAATACCTAGTTAATCCAAAAACAGGGATAATTTAATTTTAATTCCATCATATTTTCAATATTATCGCTACAAATTTGAATATCAATATTATCGCATATTTGCATGATAATGCTAAAAAGTATTGCATATATTTCAATACGTTTTAGTTACCTATGATAGATATTGTTTGCCTGGGTTTTATATGGCTTATCTATCTATACCTACTAATAAAATATATACTAATAAAGAGAGAAGAACTTCTGTTTTTTTTGTTGAATCTTCGAAAGTCTTGATCTGATTAGAATAATTATTTTTGAGTAGAATAGTGCATTTATCAAAAAAGCTATATGCTATAATATATATCACGCTTTGGTCAGTAGGACCCGAGCAACGGGTAAAACTGTGAGAGACTAGCTGGTTTTTTTTTATAACGAAATTTCGTTTCGGCGTATTGTAGTAGGCCTCCAGCTCATTAAGTCCTGCTGATACCTCAATTAGTTTTGATAATTGAAGGTACGATGCTAACGGGTTGTAGGACCCTTTGGATTCCGTGTTATCTTGCTCTTTGAGGTTTTTCCTTTATTTGTGTGAAAATTTTAACATTTTTTTTTTCGTTCATGACAATGGAAGTCAAAGTCAAAATAATTTATTTCAATTAGACCAGGATGGCACTTTTGAAAGAAAATAACCTTGAGGATAATAAAATAAAATGATACAGTCTGGAGCTGACCAGTTCCAATCGACGGTGCCTGTTTACGAACATTTGGCGAAACCTAGCACCGCCCAACTCAACCATTTTGTAGGGAATCGAGCGATCCAATGCACGTGCCACCGCCAACGAGATCTTTGAGTGAGCATGACAACTCCAAGCTGACATAAATGCAATCTACTAGTCTAATTTGATTTAATTAATTACAGGGCTCTCATATTTACAATAAATTGTGCAACGTTTTAAACTATACAAATATTTAAGCAACATGATTATATTATTACACAAATAGAATTCATTGAACATCACTGTGTTTCATGTATTATCCTGCGGAGCCGGACCAGCCTGCCTCCAAGCACTTTTATCCTCTGGATATTGATACTTTGTACTTGGTTTTAAATAGCTATGGACAGTAATTATGAAAAATTCTGGACGTAAAGTAATATAATAAAAAATAGTCTATAAGTATTGACGGGTCTAAGTTGCTCTGCAGTCACATTTGCAAACAACGAGAAAGTTATTATGGAGGTAGTTTTTTAAGGTCACTGCTTCGTTGGCCAAGTGATCGCAAGTGCGACTGCCGGACAAGCGGGCTTGGATTCGATTCCCGGGTCGGGCAAACTACTACTAAGTTTTTTCCAAAATTCTCAGTACTCATAACATAAATAGTGAAAAGTGGGTATTAGCAAGAACAACATTGTACAGTGGCGTTAAGTGCATTAATGTGCACCTCTGCCTATTATAAAAGGCGTGATATTAGGTTCTGTTCTTTAAACTGTCAAACACCAAGCGGTCACCGGTGACCGCAACCTATTGTTCTATAATTGTGTCTACAGAACCGGTACTCGACGAGTTAAGGTTTATTAATGTATAGTATGTATGTATAGCTGCTTGCGCCTTTTTTAATCTACAAAGTAACACCGTAATCCCACTGTTAATTTTCCAGGTACCGAGATCCTGTTCTCCCATGTACTAGTCCAAATGTTGGTCATGATGCTCCAGTCAGGCATGGTGCTGCTCCTCGGTTTCCTGGTCTTCGGCCTGACTATCAAGGGACCAGTAGGATGGGTGATCTGCTTAACTTTGATGACTGGACTCTGTGGCATGACTTTCGGTGAGTTGAATGCCTACCTAATGTTTATTGTTTAAAGTTTATCTTTATAAATATAAATCTGCTGTACGTGTGTATGTCATTGAACTCCTCCTAAACGGCTTGACAGATTTAAATGATTTTTTCTGTACGCGTTTTAGTGGCACCCTGGATGGTTTATATTCACAAATCAGCCCGGCTGCAGATGGCGCTGCAGTCGGTGTCTAGATTAGTTATCCTAAACGGCTGAACTAATTTGAATGAATTTTTGTTTATACATTCAAGTGGATATGCAGGACGTCTGTCGGGTCCGCTAGCTTAAATTATAATTTAAATATTTAATTGTGACTAGATTGATGATTGATAGCTGCCTCTTTGGCCGAGTGGTCGCAAGTGCAACTGCCGGGCAAGGGGTCTCGGGTTCGATTCCCGGGTTGGGCAAAGTATTACTGGATTTAAAAAAAAATCTCAGTAGTAGCACAGAATCTGGAATCGTGTCCGGTAAGTATATGGCAATAGGCTCATCCCCTATTACATGGGACTCATGACATAAATAGTGAAAAGTGGTTGTTACACTGTACAGTGACATAATGTGCACCTCTGCCTACCCCTTCGAGGATAAATGGCATGATGTTATGTTAGGTTTTGACTAGATTGATTATTGTTTAAAAATGAACTTTACCTTCACGGATTTATGACTGGTATTTGCGTAAGCCAAGCGAGGAGATTATGGCAAGCCCTCTTATCTAGAGGTATATGGCGGTTCATGTAAGGGCCGTGTATGCTTTAAATGACTGCACGGTCCACACAGTACCTAAGCTATCGGCTGCCACGCAACGTATAGCGGGTTCAATTCTCGCAAGGAACAACGCTTTGTGTGATCCACGACTTGTTGTTTTGGGTCTGGGTATCATGTGTATGTGAACTTTTACGTTTGAAAAATAAAAATGAAGGCTTAAACTCGACAGTCGAATTGGAATCACAGAAATATTTATATTATATGTTTTATATTCCACAGGTTTCGTTGTATCCACAATCTGCGATACTGACAGGACTGCTACTTACCTCGCTCTCGGATCATTTCTACCCATGGTGATGCTTTGCGGAATCATCTGGCCTATTGAAGGTAAGATCATTACATCTCTCTAAACCAACGTCATCATCATCAGCTGGAAGATGTCCGCTGATGAACGGACTCCTCTAACTATTTTTCTCCTTATTTTTAGGCCGCTCGCCCACAAGCTACTTTTTGCAGAGATGCTG